CCAAGTGTCTTCCTCTTTACTCATGAGGCACTTAGCAAAGCCGGAGGGAGATTTGTCTAAGTTAACCATATAAATGTTATCGATTCTATCACCACGTAGAATGACCTTATTGTCACTAAGGCGTTCTACCGTGCATGATTTTGAATCGAAGGTCACACGGTTTCCCTTGTCACATAATTGACTTATGCTCAAGAGATTGTGTTTAAGACCTTTAACAAGCAAGACATTATCTATAGAGGAGTTTTCAGATTTACCTACTGAACCAACGCCGATGATCTTTCCCTTGCTATTATCTCCAAAAACTACGTTTCCTCCTTTAGCGGGTTTGATTTGGAGAAACTTGGATGCATCCCCGGTCATGTGCTTGGAGCATCCGCTATCAAGGTACCAAAGTACACTTGATGCCTTCAAGCACACCTATGAAACACATCAATGAGTTTTAGGTACCCAATTTACGTTGGGTCCTCGGGTGTTAGGTGTGTGATGGTAGTGTGCTTGATTTTGTGATAGGTGCCTATGCCTAGTGTAGCAAACGGGAGCAATATGGCATATCTTATTACAATAATGGCAAACTACATTGGGGTTGTACATATGCCTAGGTTCATAATAGTTCGAAGGCTTAACCATTTTGTTCCTATTTTGTGAAAACGATGGTTTTTGGAAATTTTGAAGCTGGCCTTTTCTAGGTGTTCTAGCATTATTTTGTCTATTTGAAAAATTATTTTTATGCACAAAATCATTTTGATAATTTTTTCTAGGTTGTCTAGCATGCACATTTTCTTTCCTAGGTTTTTGTCTAGGTTGTCTAGTGTCTCTAGGTTGACTAGATTTTCTATTATCCTGATTTTTAACTTTCTTATGTTGAGCCTTAGGAGGTTGTCTAGGTGTTTGCTCAATTGTTTATCCTTAGATTTATTTTTATCAAAACCTATTCCTTCCTTAGAAAAATGCATAGTGTCAAGGAGTAAATTAAGATCTTTTGAGACTCCGATGGATTCATAGATTGCATCTGCCTTTGATCTCCATTCGGGTGTGAGACTTCGCAGGATTTTTCTCACAAGATCCTTGTTGGTGTAAGTCTTCTTGAGTGCATGAAGGTCGTTGATGATCTTTGAGAACCGATCGAACATGTCATCGATCTTTTCGCCTTCCTTCATTCTGAACATCTCGTACTCCTGCGTTAGGAAGTCAATTTGGGCTTCCCGAACTTGGTCCGTACCTTCATATGTGACCTCCAGCTTGTCCCACATTTCTTTTGCAGTGGTGCAGCAAGAGATCTTGCGATAATCATCAGGATTGACGGCACAGTACAACATGTTGATTGCCTTGGCGTAGTTCTCCACCTTTTTGATGTCCTCGGCATCAAATTCGTCCTCGGTTTTTGGGACTGTGGTTTCTCCTACTTTCTTCACTGGGATTTGCTCTCCATTTTTGATGATCAACCATAATTGGAAGTTGGTGGAACGGATATAGATTCTCATCCGTTCCTTCCAATAGGAATAGTTGGTGCCATCAAAGAGTGGTGGCCTAGACGTAGACTAATCTTCTCCAATTCCTGCATAGAGATTTCTAGAAGAAGAACCCATGATCGCTTTACTCTCAAACGGTTAAGTTTGGACGCGAGTTAGGCTCTGATACCAATTGTTAGAATAATTAAGACGTTATTGACAAGTTTTTTTACATTCAACTTTTACAAAGAATTTTACATGCAAATAGAAGCATCCACGTCAAATTTTGCTACTTTTTGAATGAATTTAAATTTTGGCCAAAAAATGTTATGGTACCTCTAGAACTCGAAGCCAAAACTAAAAAAAATATTAATTCAGAATTTATTGACAAGTCTTTTTGAGATGAAACTTTTACACAGGGTTTGTTAGAATAATAGACCAACGCTAGAGGGGGGTGAATAGCGTTTGATCGTAGAAATCGCAGGAATTAAAAAATTAAAAGAGAAGTAAAGAGAAGAGTAAGAGGCACACCGAATTTTACCCTGGTTCACCACAACTTGTGGCTAATCCAGCCTCCCGAGAGACTCTCTNAATGAGTGATTTGCAATGAAAGAGTAGGAGTTGTGAAGTCAATGTGATGTTTAAAACAGACCCAAACACCCCATTTTATAGTGGAAAAATAGGCTCCAACGGACCAAAACATTTAAGGGGTGATTTGCACAATTTGTGGGATTTGATTAAATTTGGATCTGCTGAAATTCACCCAGACAGCGCTGTCCTAGGCTTGGACATCGCTGTTCTAGGCTTGCGTTTTGAAAATTGGGAAGCAACGGTCATGCCAACAGCGATGTCCAGTACCCCTACATCGCTGTTTTGGCTGTTGACTTCCAAACAAGGATAGTTTTGGCCTTAAATTCCTTCCAACGGTCAGGTTCCTACATCGATGTTCAATACTAGAACATCGCTGTTTAGGTCTGACTTTGAAGATGGAAGTTTGGCCTGACAGCGCTGTTTCTGGGTCAACATCGCTGTCCTAAAACTTTCTGCCAATGTACTATATTTTTGGCTTAGGTTGGACAGTGCTGGAAATCCAATCTTGGCTCAACAGCGATGTCTAGTGTGCAACATCGTTGTTGGAAGACTTAATGCCAAACTATGGTTTTCAGCTACTCAAGCTAGACAGCGCTGTTGGGTGCACCAACATCGCTGTTGGGCTGGTTTAGCCAGACCCATGGTTGGTTTAGTCATGCCGTTAGCCGATGTCAAAAACGTAAGTTCTCCAAAATAAAAACTAAGTGTTGCAAACATTTGTTTATTGCATGCCAACCAAGTTTGTGTCGTTTTGCATGGTTTTCAGTAAACGACCATAAACGGAAGGTGGTTTTTGAATCATTTTTGTTGGAGAACTGTTTAAATATGCCCAGAAGTAAAAACCAATCATAAAAAGTTAAAAACCACTTGGTTGGTTCGGATGCCCAAAAACCAATGCCGAAAACCGAAAGCCTGAAAGCCGAACGCCGGATGACTTGGTTTTTGGTTTGGGCGAACTCCAAGTGTTTGTAGCCAGGTTTAAAAACTTATGAAAAACATTTTTGAATTTGCAAAAAGGGTTTTGATGAATTGAGCCTAGAGAGCCAAGATTTGGAAGTTTGTGCCGGTCTTGATCACATTAAGACCGACTCGATGCAATTCTAATTCTTTGTTCTTGATTCTTGGTTCTTGGTTCACATGTCATCATGCCGTGTTTCTTCGCCTTGGTTTTGATCACTTTAGCCTTGTTGTGTCACGGCGGTTTGGCATTATCAAAACCTGTCATAAAAACGAACACAGTTTAGTACGACGTAGGCGTAAACCCGTGTTCCAACAGGGTTAATTTGAAAATGTAAGCATTTATGTCAAATTTTCAACTTTTTTGATAGATTTAAAATTTTGCCAAAAAATGTGATGGTACCCATAAGAGCTCGAGGTCAAAACTAAGAAAATAGTAATTAAGACGTTATTGACAAGTCTTTTTGACATTAAACTTTTACAAATGATTTTACATGCAAATAGAAACATCCATTCCAAATTTGGCAACTATTTGGATAAATTTAAAATTTGGCCAAAAAAATTTGAAGGTACCTCAAGAGCTCGAGGCCAAAACTCAAAAAATAGTAATTAAGACGTTTTTGACCAGGCTTTTTGACATTAAACTTTTGCAAAAGATTTTACATGAAAATTTCAAGTTTGGCAACTTTTTGATGTATTTAAAATATGGGCAAAAAATGTGATGGTACTCCTTGATCTCGAGACCAAAACTAAAAAAATATCAATTTAGACGTTATTGACAAGTTTTTTTGACATTAAACTTTTACAAAGGATTTTACATGCAAACAGAAACATCCATGTTAAACTTGACAACTTTTTTTATGAATTTAAAATTTGGCCAAAAAGTTTGATGTTACCCCTATAGCTCGAGGCCAAAACTAAAAAGATGCTAATTTAGACATTATTGACAAGTCTTTTTACATGAAATTTTTACAAAAGATTAAAATGAAAATATATGCATACATGTCAAATTTTGCAACTTTTTTGATGGATTTAAAATTTGTCCAAAAATGTGATGGTACCTCTAAGTGCTCGAAGCCAAAACTAAAAAAACTAAAAATTAAGACGTTATTGACAAGTTTTTTTGACATTAAACTTTTACAAAGAATTTTACATGAAAATAAAAAACTGTATGTCAAATTTGGTAAGTTTTTTGATGAATTCAAAATTTGGCGAACGAACATCTAAATAGATACACAAAGTTCTCATAAGTATCACCAACCTCCTTTGCCTATGGAAAATCCTCCACTTCATTAAAAATTGCCGAAATTTTTGGCTCCCTCTCCATGAGTACCATAAAACTACTGCAAATCAGAACTTATCAGAACCCTCAATGAATTTATATAAATCAAAGATTCACTGTAAATCATTACCTAATGCTTGTTGTAACACCCTAATTCGTCCAGGTCTGCAGCCCCTTCCGAACTTAAGTATTAACTTGGTAATCACATAATTTAAAACATTTCAAATAACTTTATTCATCATAAATAAAATTCCAGACCGACAACGTAGTAAATACGGAGTGTTTAATAATAATGCGGAAGCGACTTTTAAACATGTCTCATAACAACATAATCATTTATTTTATCAATAAATCCACCACGACTGTCTCGCCCCTTCCGCTGCCAGGAACATGCCATTCACTCATTCTGTCTACCTGCGTGTAGCAAATAAAACATACTACACGCTCAGCGATGAAGCTGAGTAAGCATATCTAAAGCGTCGAACATCCACATAAATTGAATCTAAATTCACAGACAACCATTTGATATCATGCACACAATATATAATTCATTCATGATATTCTCAATATTTTTATTTCAATGTTTCAACAATATCCTTAAACTATGCTTAGTCTAAGGCCAATTCCATTCTTAAATTGATCTTATTTCAAGATATTCTAATCCTTAAGCTAGGCCTAGTTTAAGATATATTTTTAAAAAGTGTTTTCAAATCTTAAACTTACCTTCGCTTAAGGTCAACCAAAAACCGACAGCGTAGTGTTCACTGTTGGGTTGGGTGGTACCCCCAAACGAGTAGGTACTCAACTTTGGTTCTTGGATCCCGTACGTACGTTTTAACCCCAGCCACCGGGCATCATACCCGCAAGGCCTATTTCTAACCTATCTTAGAGGTCTTCTAAATAGTATTAGAAACCAACATCAATATGGATATATCTTAGAGTTCTTCTAGATATCCTTAACAACATTATTCATCAATTCATATTCTTAGTTCAACAATCATTTCATCCAGAATATTCATCATCATTAATTCATAATATTCATCAAATGAACAATCAATCAATCATCATAATAACTAATAACAATCAGCGGCCTAGCATCGAGTGTTAACACCCTAGCTTACCGTCATGCATCACATAAGATCCCTTTTAGTTGTTAAAACACCATCTTTATTCCAAGAAATCATCCTTTTATTAATCATAATGGTTTGGTATCAAAATATAGGATTCCATAACTCAAAAATCACGTTTTCTAAATAACAATTGATTAATATATGATAGGAAATTCAATTATTAGCTATTAGCTTCATTTTCTTCAATAGTGTAGGGAGACAGTCTACTGTCACTTCTGATAATCTACTGTCTGATGTTCAGAATGGGCTGATAATCGATTATCACACTCTGATAATCGATTATCAAACTTCAGAGAGGGCTGACAGTCGATTGTCACATTCTGACAATCGACTGTTGCTCAGCTTTGTTCCAAAAATCTGCAGAACAATGAATAATCGATTTTCAAGTTGATAATCGATTATCCATCGTCTTCTACATCGAGCCAACTTGCGGAAATGTCACTTTTACTCACCAAACTTCAATTAAAGTATACAAAAGTGTTCTCCAAGGTTCATAGATCATTTTGGCATTATTAATTCATAGTTTTAACATCAAAATTATGGTTTACAATTCTTAGTTTTTCAAGCATGTCAAACACAAAACTCAACCAAATGACCATCTATGAACGTAGAATCGATCTATATGAACATTCTAGTCATTAGATATATCTACGGGCTTACCTCAAAGCTTAATGGAGGTTTTGAATATTTTCCGGTGAAACTTGCAGCAGCAATAACTCTTAACTCCGGTGATTCCACACCAAAATGGCAGCACCAGTGCACTCCTCTCTCAACAAAGAATAGAATAGAAGGAAATATGGTGTGTTTTGGTGAAGAATTGAGAAGGAATGGTCTCACTTATATAGAGGGAGAAGGAAAGATAAAGCAAGCCCTGTCACCTTATCCTGTTGGAACGGCTGAGTGGAGGAGGAGGCTGATCGGTTTTTAAACGCAAGTCCCTGATTGGGACTAATTTTGGTCCCAGTCGGGGTACACTTTTTGGTCCAACTTTCTCCGAATTGAATTCCGTTTGTACCGTTGCGATCAGACAGTCAAACTCTACATAATGATATAATTTTCATTATTTATTGACAAACTTTAGAATTTACTTATTTTTGGGTCCTTCTCAGTAATTAATTAATTATCAATTAATTAATTCTGATAGGCCTATTTTAGAAGGATCGACGAGACTCTATATGAACTATCTTCAATTAAACAAATCCTTATCCTTTACTTCGTATCATGACTTATTTGATCAGCTTAGAGAATCCATTGTGTTCTCTAAGATTGGCTTACGGTCAGGATACTAACAATTCTCTATTAGGAAACTTGAACAAACTGACGATCAAGAATCGCTACTCCTTACTTTGAAATGGACTCATTTGTATGCGCTATTGACATGAAAGATCACGACATGGTGATGATACAAAACAAGACAGTGACACCAACAGTGAAAGACTAAAGAATGAAAAAAAATGTAGCTCGCACTAGCCAATGTGATAACCCCGAAAATAGGCCCAAAAATAAGTAAATTCTAAAGTTTGTCAATAAATAATGAAAATTATATCATTATGTAGAGTTTGACTGTGTGACCCCAACGGTTCAATCGGATTTCAATTTGAAGAAAGTTGGAACAAAAAGTGTACCCCAACTGGGACCAAAATTAGTCCCAATCAGGGACTACACACCAAACGGCGCCCTGTTCAATTACGCCAATCCCAAATTCGTCGCTCAATCACGGAAGCTGCAAACCTGTGTCTTCTTCTTCTTCCCTAGGCTATTTAAGGACAACCCAACTCCCTCATTTCATCACCAAAACAACTCATTGTTCCTTCTATATTGTTCCTTGCTGAGAGTAGAGTGCAGTGGTGCTGTCATCTTTGTGTGAGGTCGCCGGAGCAGTGAGATAGAGTCGCCGGAAGTTTCCCCGGAAAATCTTCAAAACCTCCCTTACGCTTCAAGGTAAGCCCGTAGATATATCTAATGACTAGAATGTTCATATAGGTCGTTTCTACGTTCATAAATGGTCATTTGGTTGAGTTTTGTGTTTGACATGTTTGAAGAACCAAGAATCATAAACCTTGAATTTGATGTTAAAAATATGTTTTAATAATTCTAATATGATCTATGAACCTTGGAGAACATCTCTATATAGTTT